AAGTTCGCCTACGCTCTTATGCAATCTTCGTGGAAGCAGTGACCGCATGGTAGTAGTCGGACACCAGGGTCATCCCGACAATCAGCAAGACATATGGGACATTCGAATGAGCCACCAGCTCGCCTGAACGATACAGCCACGCCCACGATTTACAGCTATGAATACCCTCCCGATATGAGCAGCCAGATTGAAAACAACTCCCTCTCATTTTCACCCGATTATTACAATAAACCTCCACCGGGCGGATCTGTTTCATCAATTTCGCTCATTGAGTCATTACTAACAGCAGCACGGAGAGAGGCCAGGCTTAAGATAGATCTTTGAGAGATGGAGTGTCGGACACCCAGTGAGGTCATACCAGGTTTCTGAGGAAAAAATCAAGAAAATTGCACAAAATTTATCCTCCAAGTCCCGAATGTGAAATCTTAAGTGCAAACCCGATCCACTCGATTTCAACGGTGAGCATGTCAGAGGAGCAAAAGGCACCAAATGCGAAGGTAATTGATCTGCTTGGCAATCAGAACCACCAGAATCTCCCAAGACGTAGCCTCCCAGGCCGCTGTGACGATCCACGTTCTATTCCTACCTGTGTATTGACGACTTTAGTTTTGTCCATGAGCTCCTGCAATCGAGCCTCTTGTTCTTTCAACGTATCACAGCGTACTGGCGGTGAAGGCTTTGGACTTTGGTAAGGCGGCACGAACACTAAACGGCCATTCCGCCGTTCGACGTATTTATACTAAAATGGATACCAACAATTGCCCAATTCAAGGCGGAGCATCTCGCTGCTACCCAGAGAAGAACGAAGACTGCGGCAAACCCCAAGACAATGACGATTGATATGTAGGGCCAGCTATTGAAGGCACTCATCGAGGAATAATAAACATAGACCAACAAACTGCCAACGACAGGGTACTATTCGCCCAGCAGATCCCGAATATCACGGCAATTCTCAAACACTCTCTATCCTACATTGACACGAGTGTTGTAAGAAGCTAGCTCACTATAGTATCTAAACCAGGATATGCTTTGCATGGAGCATATCAAGATACT